GAGAGAGAGAGAGAGAGAGAGAGAGGGAATCGGTTACTTGGAGATTGTATCATAGGGAAAAGTTCACATGGTTATTTTACTCGCCTGTGTCATGTGTGGGGCTTTGTCGTGTTTATATTGGTTAATTTATTGTTTTAATGTTACAATCAGCATACACATGTTCATTTTGACGTATTTCAAAAAGAAGTGTAAGATGTTAAACTTGTATTATATATTTGTCATTCATTGGAATGGCCAATTTCTTCTTGCATGGCCGAAAGTAACTTGCTATTCAACTTTCACCTTAAGATATTTTCTTATTTTCTTTCTAAATGTCTATGTTGTGTTTTCTTTGAATGGAAATTTTCTAAGGTGGTCACCATTTTGTTATTGAAATATAAAAAATTCTGTATATTTCTATATTTTTTTTCCTTTTCTATTTTACCTCTAAATCCCACTTTTTAATAATGTATTGTATTTTAATTCTATGTTCTATCTACAGATTGAGGTCATACTCCTCACCATCCGACATTTATTAAAATACCAAAAATATAAAACTAAATAAAATGACCAAAAGCACCCTTGAAAATTTGAAGTTTAGGGGTATTTTGGTTTCTTTTATGTAAAAAAATTACAGTATTTTTACTATAGTGACAAATATCAATGACCAAAATTTGAGCTTAATGGGACGTAGAAAAAATAATAAAATTAGTCATAATAACTATATAAAATATAGAGCATGAAGCTATTGTTAAATATTAGAAAGTGTAAGGCACTTCCCTCTCCATTTACATTATCTAAAGGCATGCTTATGTCTCATATCTACTGTGATCGAACATTACAAAGTTACTAATGTGGGACCTCATCTATATGCTTCAGAACCAAGAATGTGAGCTCTGAAAATATTTTAAATTTTGAAATTGGAAATACTTGTGAATTTGTATTTGTCAATAATATATATATATAGGCAAGCTTTTAATATTTCTTACCTAGACATGCTTTCTGTACTTCCCTTACAACATAAAACTTATATTCTTCTCTTTATCCAACGGTTCATTTTGAATGGAGGGCTAAGATTGTCCCATTCACAATGTCAGGTTTTTATACTATTTTATTTTTTATTTTTTTTATATAAATTATTTTAATACCAAATTTTGTACGTCTAATCTTCTATTAAACTTTCACTAGGGAAAATATTAAAAAAAAAAAACAATTCCAATAAGATAATGACCAAAATACCCTTGAAAGTTTTAATGGGTATTTCGGTCATTATATTTTATCAAAAAATTATTTTTTATAGGCGCACCCCAATGAGAAGATGGAACGTACCAAATTTCATATCCATTCACTTTTTATAAAAAACAAGAAACAAAAAAACAAAAAACAAAAAAACATAAAAAACAAAACAAAATAAAATACTTTGAGATGTTGGATGAGTGGGTTCTCTTTATCAAAATTGGACGGTTGGATCGATGGGAAGCATATATCTTCTATACAACAATAATCAGGAGCATTAAAGAGAGTCAATGCTTAGTTTAGGACCTATTTCATTTCATTGATTCCATAATAAAGAAATTTTAATATTTTCTTATTTTCTATTTCAACCCATTTGAATGCTGCATAGGAAGAGTTATATCTATTAGATTAGATATATAAATAAATGCAATGCAGATATAGGCATCTAGCTAGCCACATATTCTATCTTTTATCGTAGCTCCAATATATTTGTGCCATATCATGATTTATCTGTATACGATACAAAAAAAAACTCCAAGTATTTGATATCTTTCTCCTTGAATGATATCTCAATTCCAGCTACTATTTAATTAGATATTTTACAACTAGAATCCCTCTTTTTTTCGATCCGGTTCCCCCACCACTGTGAACCCCAGTTAGATTCAGGCATGGTACACTTTTTACTTATTCGGAGAAGCCAAGTACTCTCTTTTGGATCCATGAAACAACTCTCAGAGTTCTTTATCCCTTTTGGAAGATGCAGAATCGAATCCAAGATTGTGTGATCCGCTGCCGAACCTATTCCAATTCCAATAGCATAGAAGATATATGCTTCCCCTACCATCCAGCCGTCCAATATTGATCAAGAGAGCAACTCACCATTTGATCTTAGATCCTACGTCTTAGTTTTAGTTTTTTTATAAAAAATTGAATGGATATGAAATTTGGTATGTGCCATATTCTCATTGGGGCGCACCTATAAAAAATATTTAAAATAATCTTTCTATAAATAAAATGACCAAAATACCCTTTGAAACTTTCAGGGGTATTTTGGTCATTTTATTTCATTGGAAATATTTTTTAAAATTTTTTTGTAGTGTCAGTTTAATGGAATATTGGACTTACAAAATTTAGTGTGAAAATAGTTTATATAAAAAAAATAAAAAATAAAATAGTGCAGAGACGTGTCATTATGATTGGGGAAATCTTAGCCCTCCATTCAGAATGGACGCTTGGATAAGAGGAAGTATATAAGTTTTATGTTATAGGGAAAGCATAGAAAGCTTGCTCGTTCCTTTTTGATCATATGAACGTGTGTGTTCATATGAGCCCAACGGCCCAGATTGAATTTGGGCCGATCTGACGATCACGACCTCATTTCGTATTTAAATTTTAATGTTTTTTCTACAAATCCAAATAATTTAAATTTTTTAGACGTGCATTATTCAAAATTATAAGAATCTAATAAAAATATCAAACAAATAATTTGTAAGAAATAAATTGACCAAAATACCCTTGAAATGTTTCGAGGGTATCTTAGTCAATTTAGTTTTACAAATTATTTTTAAAATATTTATATTAGGTGCGTCTTGATGAGAAATGGGCATCTAAAATTTCAAGTTATTTAGATTTGTAGAAAAAACATTAAAATTCAAACACGAAATGAGGTTGTGACCATCTGATCGACCCAAATTCAATATGAGTTGTTGGGCTCATATGTTCAAATCATTTGAATACATTCCTAAAATTTCAAGTGATTTGGATTTAAAAAAAAAAAATTAAAATTCAAACACTCTAGAACATTAGTGATCGGCTTAGATTCAATCTGGGTCATTGGGCTTATACATTCATATGAGCTAGTGGATTAATCTCAGCTTTTTCCATATATATATATATATATATATATATATTGATCTAAGGGGAATGTTTCTGCATGACCCCAACAACCCCACTTCTTAGACGTTCGTTCTGAATTGAGCAGCTACGATTGTTCATAACACAATATCACGTACTCACGTTAAACACTATTTTATTTTTCAATATTTTCCACAAAACAT